ATAAATCTCGATTGAGCGCCATTATATTTGAAATCGTGTATTTTTTTAGCAAAGTCAACGATTACCTGCAATAATAGCGCTCAATCGAGATTTATCGACAACTTTTCCCGAAAATCCCGACTAATTAGCAAACTGTTTAAAACCCGCGATAATCACTCAATTAATCGGCTGACTAATTGCGCTTAATCACCCATTTCTTATTGTAGAATGATATGATCAACTATCTTGAGTATGATTGTCTTTTTCAAAGTTTGATCATTTTTCTCCTGGAATAAAACGTTTGCTTTAGTACCCCATTTCAACATAGACCTGACTGGGAATCCACATACTACGAAATTCAGTCGCAATCATTTAACATAGTATGGCTAATTACGAAATATGTTAAATGATGCAAGTACACTGGAAACCGGAAATGAAAATATTTGTGATCTAAGAAAATGGAACCGGCTGTGTTTTTATCCGAATGCACGATTTACATGAACTGAGATTGCCGCTCACGTTTCATAATTGACTCAAGTATTTTGAAAGCCTTTGGCTGCATTTTGTAATATGCCGATTTCCAGTCTGATCTATGTTAAAGTGGGATACTAGAGCAAACATTTTATTCCACAAAGCAAAGTTATCAAACTTTGAAAACACAATTACACTCAAGATAGTCGATCATATCATCCTACAAAAGTTAAGAAACATAGTTTTTAGTGACTAAAATTTTGATAAACAAACATTCTACAATTTCTGACCATAACTTATGGAGACAAGACAAAGATGCTTTCGAAAAAGATATCAGAAACTTAAAGTTTTGTTTGCCTTTCGAAAGCAAACAAAGTACACTTCAATACTAATAACAACATTGATTAAGCAAAGTTTGAATAATGATTAAGCGTAGAAAATCAGTTTACCTGCGTTTCTACTTTTTCAAAAGAATTGTTGTACTTACAAATATTTTGTGGCATATAATAGAACTGAAAACGTTGAACGATGCTTTGATTCTGAGATAAAACAATGTCGACACTAACTGGCACGCTAAAATTTTCAAATGTATATGGTGGTGATTTGAACGATATCATTTTGTCTTTAATATCAAAATCTTGAACTTGTGCAGACCAACAAGAATTTTCGAAGTGTATTTTTATACCTAAACAATAATTCATAACATTTCAGAATGATGAGCAAGAAAAATGAATATTATAAATTTTATTTATTACTTTTCTTATCGATTTTTGTTGGAAGAAATAGTAAAATATCATCTTTTCCCAAACAACTACCCATTTTTGGTGCATATTTATATACTGGACAAACGACATTTTGGTCTTCTATAAAAACAATTTAAAATAATTGTATGAGTTATAAATGCCAAAAGAATATGTGTACTTTGTTGAGCTTTTTCTTCCGTCATTGTTTGTGAATAGACTGATGTTGTTAATAATGCATCGAATTTTGATGGATTATCACTGTGCTGTTGAACTACAGTAAAAACTAATTGAGATTTGGACAGCTCATAAAATTTAATCATATCCTTAGGATTGTTAATACACATTTGATTGCTGTCAAAATGTATGCCGCTTTCGTCTAAAAGATGAAGTTTCAAAACATGTGAAATGACATAAATAATGTTCTTTAAAATCTATTAGTAGCAGATCACAAAATGTTGAACTGTTCATCTGGTTTTTTACGTTCAGAAAAAGTCTCACTTGCTTCTCTTGATGATAAAGAAGTTTTGCTCTGTTACAACTCCTTCGCCTCTTGAGACTGGAAGGAAAAGCAGCTCCATAGCTCCAGTGGTACCAGATGGCTTCACATGAGTTCTAGTGAACTTTAATCAGTTCCATTCAGCTCCAACGAGCTCTCAGCCTCCGAAAGTCATTGGAGCTGAGTGGAACTGAATGGAAAGGAGTGGGGCTCATTGGAAGTCCTATGGAGCCATCTGGTACCACAGTGTTGCTGGCTGCAGCTCCACAGCCTCGGTGAATTTACTCTTACTGAATTTATTTGATCATATACCCTTGAAAGTTCAGTCAACATCGGATACGGTCGAATTATCTTGGGCTAAGATAAGTAAATGAACGTCGAGAATAGTTCTTTAATGTTCTCAAGGCTATGGGGGGGAGAGCAGCTCCCAGTGCCACCCGAAACCCAACGGACTCAGTGTTGCTGACTGCAGCTCCACAGCCTCGGAGTCCATTGGGTTTCTGGTGGCACTGGGAGCTGGTCTCCCCCCCTAGCCTTGAGAACATCAAAGAACTATTCTCGACGTTCATTTACTTATCTTAGCCCAAGGTAACTCGACCGTATCCGATGTTGACTGAACTTTCAAGGGTATATGACCAAATAAATTCAGTAACAATGGAAAGACGAACGCTCTCTTTACAATAGTCCATCATAATCGCCCGTCATGTCAGTTTGGACGAATAAATGAATAATTTTCAAAGTAAGAAATGGATTCTCATCTTATCTTTGAATATCTATTCCAGATCGGCTAATACTATTAATAGTTCACAAACACTATTGATGATGCCCATTTTATTCAAAAAAAAATTTCTTTCTGTACAAAGCTACAAAAATGATGTACCTTAAACTCTCATTTCCGGATTTGACTCATTTGTGGATTCGCTATAATCAATAATCTTTACATCAATTCCGTTTTTCACTGCTTTTCTAGTGGCCGCAATGTACTTTTTTTAGATTGAAGCACGAACATAGCGAACGTTCAGTCAAGCGAATTTTTCAAGAAGATCTTCACTAATTAAAACTTAAGACTTACTCAAACTATTGAATGGACGTAATGGTCCGTGTGATTTTAATACGTCCTGTTTGGATTTGACAAGCATCAAACGGGTGAAGCTATAAGTAGAAAACACTAATATTATAACACAGAGCTACACATTGTCTCTTGAAAACACAGAATTCTCCTTGTGTGTGTATTATAGTCTACGACAGCAGAGACGCTCTATCGTCGACTAGTATTTGAACTTTATTAATCCCAAATAAAAAGTTCAACCATTCCTTTAAACTTCCTTGTTAACGTAACGTTAAATTTTACACTTTAGTCTTGATAAAGGTCTTATTTAAAATCTGAATAAGATTTGATACCTCGACTTTCTCATTCACCCTTTTGTTTTTCTTTTATATATCTATATAAATAACACTAAAGATAGAATTGAATTTTATTGTGTTATCTTTCTGCAAGACCTCGTACGTACTTGCTTACTCGAAGGTTTTCAAGAACTTTTCAGAGAGTGCACACTGCAAGTCAACGTCGAGGAATGGACGTCTGCAAATATAACATTTCTCTTCGTTCTTCACGTCTGTTATACTGTAACTTTTAACAATGAAGAACAACAAACTCACATTAGAGCGCGACTATGTGCAAGAAATTTATTAATACTTGGATAAGGTATACCCTTAGTGAATTATGAATGCATCTTCTTAAAAAAGAAACTTAAACTCTTAGTAACATCTTAAGGATATCCATCCCCTGATGAAGCTTTCCATACAGATATACGCAAACATAAACTAAAAATGATTAAGTCCCTTCTTCTTTGTAGGACTACTTAAAAACTCAATTTTATAAATTCTGATAGAGTAAATCCTGCTGGTTCTAATCGTATATCTACTTTCAATTTTCATTGTTGGCGTCGGGAGAAAAGTTCATACCTTTATCCTAGCGCAGCTACACTCCTAATGTTCCGTGACACGACATTACCGCGAACGATATTACCGCTAACGACATTACCGCGAACGACATTACCGCTAACGACATTACCGCGAACGACATTACCGCGAATACAAAAAACGACATTACAGTGAACGACGTTACCGCGAAGACTCGTTTATTGGAAAAGAAGAATAAATGAGCCTGGTTTTGTACTTTGTATATCA